ATTCCTCCTCACATTACTTTGTTATTCAACCCACTTCTCTAAAGAAAAATGTAAACCTTCGTCAAATCATCCACATATATGTTCTTTTTAATCAAAATAACTCATCCTTTATCTCATTAACTTATTAAATCCTTTTTTCAAATTCAAACATTTCATTTATCTTTTTCTTATAAACTGATCACAGATATATATATATATATATATATATATATATATATATATATATATATATATATATATCCAAACTCTTCCAAAACATACTCCTATCACTTGCTCTTTTAATATTTCCTCATAACATATATCCTTCAACACTGACATTTCTAATCCGTCTAAGCTGATTAGTTGTACCTCTTCCTAATTTACAATTATCATTTGCATACTAACTATATAACTAGTCCATCTCCAATATTACTTCTAATCCCTTGAAGAATAACTCCATTAGGTTAACAAAGAATTTCATTCCTTAAATCTGAATGGAACATCTCCAACATATCTAATTTACTTGTGCACTGTGCCTTACTAAATTTGTCACTTTAATATTACTACAAATAACTTTTACCTACAATTCTCAATTCTCTCACCCATTCACTACTCATGTATATATATATACAACTCGGATTAACCGATATCATAATGCATTTACTGTATAATAGAAAAATACTTGCTATTATCTCTGGATCATCAAAATCTTCATTGGTATTAATATTATACATTCGAGCAGTGGAACGTATGTCCTGTTGAGTAGAGGATTCAGGTTGACTTCTGCCTCTTCCTCTACCCCTTCCTCTTTGAGACATAAAAGTAGATCAATCCAATTGTGCATGCTCTTCTGTCCCCAATGGACAATCTCTCATAAAATGTCATGTTTCCCCACATCGGAAACAAGATCCAGATTTAACTCTACACGTCCCACCGTGATATCTTCTACAAGTCTGACAATGTCTCTATTGTGCTCTTCCATCACCAGACCCTACTGATTGGGTCTGTCTAGTTCTTGTCTGATTTGATTCTCTAACGGAGGATACCACCGATCCAGTCCTTGCCTGAGACTGAAAACCAGTATCTCTACCTCTCTTGGGTGGTGCAGAACTCGATGAAGCCCCTGTTCTTTTAGAGGGTTAGATTCTTTAATCCCCAAACCTTTTATTCTGAGCTCTTTCTAAAGCTTTAGCACGATTTACTATTTCTTGAAACGAAGACAAGTTCAGCACTATTAACATTTCTTTCAACCTCAGGCGTAAACCCTCTACAAACCACTTACACGCATCCTTCTATGTTGGGACCAACTCAGTCGCAAAACGACTTAACTTATTAAACTCGCACTCGTACTCATACACTGTGCGATTCATTTGTTTCAGATTCAAGAATTCTTGCTTCATTTTCCGAATAAACTGGTCTCCTATATACTTGTGCTTAAATTCTTTTAAAAATAAAGACCAGGTCACTTTATCACTTGTCAATCTCAGAGTAACATTAGTTCACCAAATTCTAGCTTGCCCACGAATCAAAGAGACCACCCCATCTAATTTCTCCACATCAGAATAGTGAAGTCCTTCTAACATAACATTTACATCATTAAGCCAAAGGTTTGCGGTAACAGGACCTTCTTCGACTTCACCCCTAAACTCTGGAGCTCCTAAACCCCTCAACTCCTTTGCAACATTCATTATTGGAGTTGAAGTAGCAGGATGTTGGAAACGCGTCAATATAACATCTAATGTTCTAAAGAACACATCTTGATCAGCTATAGGCACTCCAGAAGGTGTCAGTTCTTCACCTTGTCGGGCCAGGGCAGGTGAATTACTACTTTCAGCGGGTCGATCATCTCCCGCTTGACTTCGAGAACTATCATGTCCGGACATCTATAAAAACATACCCATATCATTCTATAAGCAAAACAACACACTTTATAAGACACTCTAGACTTCGGTTTATGCCGAGAATCGACTAAACCGTAGCTCTAATACCATTAAATGTAACACCCTCTACCCGTACCCGACCCGGATATGAGTCCGAGGTGTCACATTGACTTTTCAAACTTTAACTCTTGACGAAAACCAAGAAAATTTAAAAACTTTATTAAAATAACATTGTTACTGTACACAAGTTAACCAAAACAAGACAAAACTGATCAGAGCATTTGTAACTAACACTTTTCTTACATGCCAACACTATACAAGACAAAAGACATACTTTATCCGTTACTTCTGATCTGATCTTCTAGCAGTGCTGCTGTTTTTGCCACTCCTATTTCTGTTCTTCCAAATTCTTGGTACCTACGTGTAAATCACTTACACGTTAAGTCACAGACTTAGTGAGGCAATAAACATATAATGTGACTTTAACTAGTAATCATACATAAACAATTACTACCATCATTTCACACAACTCACATACTTTTACATATAACAAGTACATACATACATACATACATACATATATGTTATTATCATTCATATCTCTTATCTCATATTCCTATGATCTTTTATATCCATATCATATATCACACATAACATTTCACAAGGAAACAAACATATCATCATATCCAGTTTATTAATATTATCTCTTTATTAGCCTATGGTACACATGCGAGAACTGTAGATACGTGAGTCTATTGAGGTTGTGCACCACTATGATGTCACTACAGCTCGTATAAATGTCCCGAAGAACCTATCCAAAGGTCATAAAGATCCTCGGTAACTATCCAGAGGTCATAAAGATCCTCGGTAACTTTCCATAGGTCCCGAAGAACCTAGGTAAACTATACATATGTTCCTTAGAACATAGGTAAACCCTCGACTCTTGGCATGCCAACTATACCTCTAGCTCTCAATAAACATAACATGGGCATTTTCACTTATACACTTTCATTGCTCTTATGATTACATATTACTCTTCTTCTGTCACAAATCACATGTGCATATAGTCACATAGTTTACTTTCATGTAATTCATGTCACTTTTCATGTAAACATATGATTCACTTTCACGTATCACATATACTTTCTCTTTCGTATAACTCATGTCACATATACTCATGCATACATACAATTCACATATCAAATAACATTTGATGAGTTACTTATTACCATAGTAACTCCGTCACTAGCTCATCGCAAGCCAATGCTTATTCTATAACATAAGTACAATGAAATTGCACTCACCTTAGCCTTTCTTGATTTGATTTGATTCTAATTCTTCAATTGATCCGGAACAAGCTTTTATTATATATCTACATAATAATAACACATTGATACATATCAATATACTAATTGATATATTCTAAGCTATCACTTCATAGGCTAAAAGAACGCCATTTTCATCTTTTAATAGAGGCATGCATCGATGCACTACACTATGTATCGATGCATCCCTTGACAGGTGCATCGATGCACTATCCATGCATCGATGCATAAATCATATTCGATGTTTGCATTTTAAGCAGGTGCATCGATGCACTCCTTATGCATCGATGCACTAATTGCATTCGATGTTTAATTATTTGAGAGTGCATCGATGCACACAACCCAGAAATGATACTTGGAGCACGAAAATCCCTTCTTTATTCTCTTAACTCTTCATATTTCATCTCTTTTTCTATTCTTAACTCTTATACACCTATTTAAACTAATCTATACTCATTTATTTCATCTTAAACCCCAAAATCCTATCCTCCTTATGAGATTCAAGAATTATACCAACTTTGCAACATGATTTAATTCCAATTCTAACACTTCATATGTCTTAACTAGATTGATGACAAGTTAAATTTAACTTTCAATTCTTATTATAAACTCTATTTCAAGATTTCACTCTAGAACTCCAAATCTTTAATCTTCTCTAACTCCTTTATCTTTTGATTTTAAGATAACTTAAGCTTTCCTTAAACTTAGTTATCATCTAATGATCAAAACCCATACTTAAAATCAACAAATAATCAACTAATCAGAAAATTTACCTTTGCTATGGAGACACGGGAGGAAATGAAGAAGAAGAAGAAAAGAAGAAAGCTCTGGAGAAATCTCTCCTTTCACACGTATATAAATCCTTACCATATCCTATTTTTAATTCATTTCTTGGTCAAATGACCCTTTTGCCCTTTAATACCTTTATAATTACTAACATCTTTAAGATAATATTTCCAAATAAATCATTTAATTTTTCAACTATTCCATTTTAATCACCAAATTCTGAAATATTACAATTTGGTCACTAACCCGGTATTGAGGATGTTACACTACAAGTTTACTTGAAAGATGGTTTTGTGTTTTCTATGATGATGATGAGTCATTCAGACATGAGGTGATGAATATTGTTAAAAAACACAAATGGGAGAAATTGCGAGACACCCTAAGGCCATGGCACTGGAGATGGTCAAAGAGTTCTACGCGTACCTAGGAGACCAATCCCAGTACTCGGTATACGTCTGAGGCATGCTCATCTAATTTACCCCTCAGTCATCAACCGCTACTTTAAGCTCAAGAAGGTTGAGGACCTGCACAAGAAATTCATTGTCGGAGAAAACTCTGAAATGTATGATGGGGTGCTCAAAGACCTATGCTTTGGTTGGGCTAAATTTAAAGAAACTGCTCCCAACTGATTTTCTCAAGGGTAAGTTGATGCCCACATTCCACAATTCAACTGTGTTACTGAGGCAACTGATGCTCTTTCATTCCATTATATATAGACGACCAATCAACATCGACAAGATTATCTTCGAGAAAATCCACGCATATGCTAAGAGGGCTAGAGGTAGTTTAATTTTCCCAAATTTAATTATTGCCTTGTGTAGGGGGGAAAGTCCCCGGGAAGCCCCTTGAGGAATTCATCAAGTCAAAAGAGGGCATTATAAAGAAGAAAGTACCCAAGTTAATGAGCTTTGATGATGCCCTAGGCGAAATTTTAGAGCGAGGGGTGAAAACAGTTGCAGCGGCAAGGATGGCTGCAATTGTGACTTTCACTCAAGAGACCAAGGAAAGGCTGAAGCGTCTATAGGGCCATATGGAAACCTTCTTTACATATGTCAAGGCAAGGGATTCTATGCTCAATGATTTCTTGAATGAGCTTATACCAATATCTAATGAAAATTTGCTATCATTCCCTGATGAGATTTTGCCGAAGCCAAAACCATCAACACCAGAAGGCGAGAAAACATTTTATACCTAAACAGAAAATGTTATGTCCAACTATCCAATAAATTCATCCCCAATTGCTACTTGTTGAGTTAATCGATCGACAAAATAGCCAAGAGGGGGTGAATTGGTAATAAAAATTTTGGTGGAAGCTTTTGTAGAAAATAGAAAATAATTGCACAGAGATTTAGAATGATTCAACTTTCTCAACCAAAGTCTACGTTCACTACGTTAGCTATCCACACTAAGGATTTTCCACAAATTCACTAATTTGTCTTTCTTTTGAGGACAAAGAGTAACCATACAAATCCCTCAAGAATTATACCCCAAATTCTTGAGAACATTATCTCCCAAAAAGAACAATACAAATTTCGCAAACTCACAGAAAAACCTCACAAGGCAAGATGTTTGCACAATTCTAGAACAAAGAAAGAACACCCAAGAATAATATAATTGAGCGCAATAAGTGTTCTTGAAAGAAAAAATGAATATCGAATGAAATAGGCTTAAAAATGCTCAAACTTAAGGTTTGATGCTTTCTCTTTGATTCTCTCTCAATTCTTCTTAATTGTTGTTGATCCATGGCTCCTAAGCTTGTTTAAATACACCTTGTGTAACACCCCAACTCATATCCGACCCGGATATGAATCCGAGGTGTCACATTGACTTTTTAAAGCACATACATTTATGAAAACCATAGTAAATTTAAAACTTTTATAAACACAAAACTATATTTACATTACCAAATTCAAAACATTACACCTTGATCAGAGCGTATATGCTAAATGACTTTATTTACATGCCAACACATATATTACATAAGTGGACATACTGTATAAGGTGCTTCTGATCTGATCTTCAAATGATGATATACTACTCCTAAGACCGATCTTCTTTCTTTTCTGTACTTACGTGTAAATCACTTACACGCTAAGTCATAAACTTAGTGAGGCATAAACTTATAATGATAATGCATTTCTTATGAGTATGAACATGTAACGTACTATTCATATAAAATCCTCACTATCATTCATGATTTCATTTCACTTATATGATTTATTATAACCAAAGCTAATACGATAACCTATAATGCAATACACACATTTTTCACATTATTTATAGGCTCATGTATATACTGAGAACTTAAGGTATTCTAGTGCATAGAGGTTATACACATCTGCTGTCACCATAGCTCGTATAAGTTCCACTGAGTGTCATATGAGATTTGTCCCGAAAGACCTATGATTATGTCCCGAATGACCTGTTAATATGTCCCGAAAGACCTATGAAACCCTCGACTCTTGGCATGCCAACTATACCTAAAGCTCTCATATCACACCACATGGGAATTATTATTATTCATATGTTCATGTATTCATATCCTTTCTCTTGTATCCACATATATCTTTCCTTTTATCACATAGTACATGTACATATAATTATCTATCTCGTATCATATAACATGTGTACTTTCATCTATTCATATGAATCATATGCTATTTAACAATTACTATGCACACACATATATATATATATATATATATCATATATAAATTATGCATATATTTATAATAACCATTATGTATGCATGTTCATAATGACTATGCAATAATTATTAATCATAGGAATAGACTTATCACAAGTCATAATTCCTTTGAACTACATCTCTAGTATGCACTCACCTTAGCCTTGTTTCTTTGAATTGATCTTAATCCTTCGATTGTTCCGGAATGAGATTACGCTTAGTATCTACATAATCATACATGGATTCATATCAGAATTGTAATTGATATCCTCTAATCTATCACTTCTTAGACCAAAAGAAAGACTATTTTCATCTTTTAATTAAGGTAGGTATCGGTACCCTCTACTAGGTATCGATACCTTAATTGCATTCTGTAAATTTTGCTTAAAGATGGTATCGATATTGTTCTTCAGGGTATCGGTACCCTCTGAATTCCTTCTTAAATTTTGCTTTGGAGGTATCGGTACCTGTTGAATGGGTACCGATACCCCTAGCCCAGAATCATATTTTCAATACGAAAATTACTTCATTTTCAGCTCAACCCCTTTATGTTTCACCTCCTTTAATATTTCTTAACTTTCATACACATACTTACAGTTATTACTATTCAATATTTACTTTTTTAAACACAAAATCATATCCTTTATATGGCATTCAAAAATTATACCACATTTTCTACTTGTTCTGAATTCAATTTTAACACTTCATATCTTTTAATTCCACTAATGACAAGTCAGATTTAGGCTTGAAATCTACTTAATACTTTCCTATCAAGATTTCACTTTTCCACTTTATTTCTTTAATCTTTCCTATACCCCTCATCTTGTTGTTTTAAAACAAATTAAGCTTTCCTTAAGCTTAATTATCATCTAATGATCATAAATCAACCTTAAATTTATCAAGAAATTAACTAACAAGAGATCTCACCTTTAGCTTGGTTCTCACGTATGAAGAAAGATGAAGAAGATGATAACACTGGAAACTTGTTTATGGTTTCCTTCACTTCCACGTTGGTTAATTTAATACTCTAACCCAAAATTATCTTACCATCAAATGACCTTTGTGGCCTTTCATTCTTTCTTCTATACAATTTAATCCTACACAACATTCCCATATAAGTCCTTGAACTATTTAATTATTCTACTTTAATCACCAAATTCTGAAACTCTATAATTTAATCATTACCCCCGTATTGAGGATGTTACACCTTGGATCACTTCTGAACGTTGGGGATCAATGGTGAAGTCAATATAGTTGTTATAGTGTAAATATCAATTAATAAAATAGTTGGGAGCGTGTGTTCATCGATGCATACACAAGGTGTATTGGTACACTATGTGTAAAATTCAAATATTTTGACCGTTATAAGACTTAGTGCATCGGTACACTAGGGGTGCATCGGTACACTAATTACATTCGATGTTTCAAAATAGCCAGGAGTGCATCGATGCATGGTCTGTGCATCGGTACACAAAATGCATTCAATGTTTCAAAATATTCAAGAGTGCATTGATGCATGGCTTGTGCATCGGTACACAAAATGCATTCGAAATGGGTATGCATCGATGCATCATGTAGTGTATCGGTACATCACTTTGTAAATTTGATTTTTGGCTCGATTTTGGTTCGAAATACTTTGTAAAATTGTTTCAAAAAATATTTTAAGTTTAAAACACAATTTTACACTTTAATAAGGATTTGAAATTGATCTTTGAAAAACTTGGAGTAATATTTTGATATTCGAATAATTGAATCAAATATACTTAAAAATGATTAGAAAATCTTAAAATTCAATAATACTTAATTTGTTATATCGAAACATCAAAATGTTTTCAACAATCTCTCTCTTTTTGATATATCAAAACATTTAAGAAAATTTTAAGATTTTCTTTGAAAATCATTTTTGAAATCAATTTTGTAAAATTACTCCCCCTTACTATATTCTCCCCCTTTTTGTTAAATAAAAAAGACTCTATAAAATGTTTTTTTTAAACAATCGTTATAAAAAATTTAGCTAATTTATTTTATAGATATAGCTTAAACTGCTATGATCACAATCAAGAGAAAGGTTAGCCATTAGTTTCATAAATCAATATTCATAAACAAATGTGAGATAGTAAATTGGTCACATTCTAAATGATATAAATGATGCAAAAATGCAATAAGTTCAATTTAAAAATTCAACCAAACCAAGTATTCAAGTTTAAACATCCAACATCCATAACAAATTCAAACATCCAAAATAAAACAATCCAAAAACATCAAAACGTTTAACAATAAGTTCCAAACCCAATCCAAGAAAACTAAAGCAAGATAGGTCTAGTCATCCAAAGAAGGATCTGGAGGAGGAGGAGGATAACGTGCTCGCATCTCGAGTGTGAGCGCATCTAAACGTTCATTCATCTCCCGTTGTTGAGCCCCCATAGCAGTTAGATGGGACTCTATGGATGCAAACCTTAGATCAAATGACTCCTAAAATGATCGAAAATATAGAGGCATTTGATCCTCTTGTTGTTCCAGCTCGTGCTCGGGAACTTCATCGTCAATATCTTGCATGAGTTGTTGAAGCTCAGGATCATCATCATCTGCTAATGTTGGTGGAGGTGGAGCTCGTGAAGAGCTTGCTCCTGGAGTTTTCTTAGTTGTTCGAACCCATTGAACAGTTTCCTTATCCTTTTTCCATCCCGATTTCTTTAAGTAAGTACGATTAATTTGGTTTTGGAGAGGATGAGAATATCAATTGAAACCTTAAGCCCTAGTTTGATAAATAGATTAGAAAGAAGACAACCGTAAACTAGATTAGAAATTCAAAGAAAATTTTGAAAAATTGTGTGTTTTTGATTAAATTGGTTGTAAAATCTAGTTTAGAATCATCATATAATCAATGCACGATACTTAGTTCAACCTAGAACTAATCAAAACTAGTCCTAAGTTCAAAAATCAATAAAACAAGGGTTTTTCAAATATTACCTTGAAAATTTCGGATTTTGTGAGAATGAGATGTTGTTTGCACGGATTTAATGATGTTAGTAGGATTTGGAGTTGAAATGCAAGAGGATTCTGAATTAAAATAGTTGTTTTGAAGCAATAAGGAGATTTGGAGTTGAGAGGAGGCGTACGATGTGGGTGTGTTTTATTTTAAGAGTTTTGAAAATAAGAGGATTTTAGGGATTTAGTACCCAAAACCCGATGGGTGTATCGATGCATAGCAGAGTGCATCGTTGCACATTCAAGTGATGCATCGGTACACTCTCTAGTGTATCAATGCATTATGCACAAAAATGTCAAAAATATGTTTTAAACATTCAAAATGCTAAATTAATCATCTCTAGTGGTATTGGCAACTTATAGATAAAAAATTAACAATGTTCAATCAATCAAATATATCATTAAACATTATTTGAACATATAATTAATTTTCAATAAGAATCATAAACTCCCCCTAACTATTAGCAAAAAATGTAATCGGAAGAGTTATTTTTATAA